GATTGACAATATTCTTAAACTTAAAGGGCTGAAATTTACTTGAATATATCATTTATGCAAAAATGAAAAGGAATCGGCGATACACCTTTTTTTCTATTGTTGTTATGCTAAAGAAATATGGAATGCGTTGGGGAAACATTTTCATATAAATTGGTCTAACAATTGGGATATTAAAAGTTATCTCCTTAAATGGAGGTCTGCTGAGAGATTGGACTATAAATTGGCCAGTTTTCCTTTGTTAGTGATATGGTTTATTTGGGTAGTAAGTAATGACCATAAGTATCAATATTTGGGTTTGACTCCCAATATTGTGGTTTCTTACATTCTGTCTTATTTATTTCGGGCTTGCCAAAATTTGGGTTTGAATGCAGAAATACATCAACAAAATGTGTGTGGGATGGCCACTCTCATTAGGTGGCAACCACCTCCTAAGGGTTGGTTGAAAGTGAATATTGATCGTAGTTGGGATTTGATGGCAGCGAGAGCTGGGGGTATTTTTAGAGATTATCAACGCATTTGCAGGTGTTTCTTTTCTTCTCCGATTGTTGCTTACTCCCCTTTTGAAGCCAAATGTTGGGCTTTTCTGTTGGCTTTGAAGGTGGCTATCTTCTTTAGAGTCTTTTATCTTATAATTGAGATTGATTCTATTAATCTATATAAGGATTTTGAGATGGGTTCTATACCCAAGTGGAATGTGGTGGGTATTTGGAATAGAATCAAAAAGAGTATTGAGAAATTCAAGATCTCTATACGGTTGACACATATTCTTCGGGAAGGGAACTCTCCGGCGGATTGGTTGGCAGGGAGAGGTAAAATTGAGGAAAGTATATTGATTGGTGTTTCACCTGAGTCCCGTCTAAAGTGTCTAATGTTGGGAGATTCTATGAATTTGCCTTACATTAGATCAGGTTTTCAAGGTTGAGTCTTATCATAATTTTTCTTGAAATTTTGAGGTTTGGTTCTAGTTTTATTTTAATTCTAGTTTGCATTGATTCTTTTATAACACAGGATAGAATAAGGTGGATTTTTCCTTTTATATTTTCCTAAATCATAGATTATAATCCACCTGATTTATGGTGTGGATTCTGATTAAATAAGTGCGGAAATAAGTGCGGTTTTTTTTTTGTCACAATTGGGTGGAAGAATATATTTTGATAGGGTTGGAGAGGGGTGTGGTTTTATATGATGCATATTTATTATGGGTCTCGAGACACATTTTTCTTCCTCATTAGATTTTAAAGGTATGGATGGCTTGCGTGGGGCACTGCAATATTGGAATTTGTTATTTACATGGTGGAATTTTTTAGTTTAATTTCATGCACCGAATGAGAATGTCCACTGAAGGAAGGAACTATGATGAGGCTAGATACTGAGATTTGTTATTATGTTGGAGGCTGTGTATTTTTGTTTGCAGGTTGATCTACTTAAAGTTTGTTGTGGTGCTCCATGAATTGCTATCTCCTCTTTACAAGGTTGGTATCTCCCTGTTACAAGTTATGATGGCACATAGCTACAAGGAACGTCAAAGGTTACGTTGGCTTTATGGTACAACTGTAATAAGGAACTCGAGACTACACACAACTGCTACAAATTGAATGTCTTTTTTTTTTTTTTACTTTAGTTTGGGTTTATTTAATTTTGGTATGGCTATACTTGTATTTGATCAGATACATATCGATTATATTTATTTGGTTTAAAGCTGTGTGTGTAGATCTCTAAGTGATTAAGGACCCCATTATTGTGTGCGTATTGTATTTCTTTTATTTTCTAGTTGGGATTCCTTTTCCGGATTTATGTATCTTCCGTTTTATATTAACGCGTAGGAACATTAAGAATATTAATGTACAACTTTTGGCAATTTTTCACATGGTAATGAATGCCACTAAATCATTGTTATGATTTCAAATGTCAATTTGCGCAATGCATACAATCCATGTGTAATAAAGGACTCTCAAATATGCACAACTCTAGATTTCAAACAATATATCATCATCATTAAACTTATACCAACTATTTGGTGCTGGTTTTATAAATCAACTTCCTCCATACATACCTACCAAGTGTTGCATGATGTGTTAACTCTATATTGCTCTAGTCATTTTGCATATCTTCTGACAATATTTCCATTTTATTTTTTGATACTTTATTATATATTTGAAATACTTGAAGCTCTTAGGTATATTTTTAGAACTTTATTTCCAAAAGTACTGCTCCCACTAATCAATTCATACTCTCAAGTTCATAGAGCATATCAGTCTTAACATTTATATTTTAGTCACATGCTAGAAAGCATCTATCTATAATTAAAAGCAGCTGAAATGAGTTAAACTATCAACCATGTTGCAATAAATAAATATAAATTTGACTAGAGCAAAAAAGTAGATTCTTATAGGTACTAAATTAAATTTGCACCAATTTGGATACAGCATAGATTAAAAGATCAACTGTTGAAAACATGTAATTTCCTATCACCTTGCATTGGCAGACTCCAAAAATAATAAAAGGGTTTCATATCTATAAAATGAGGTTCAGGACACATGTTGGAACAAGAAAATATAATAAATTAATGATCATTTTATGTTGAAATTAAACTGCCACTGTTAGAATTATGAAGTAATGTAGACTATAATAAAACACAAAACTACAACATAAGGACTTAATTCATGACCTGCATCAAAAGCAATGTTTGAAATTGTGCAATTAGGTATTGAGGCGTTTCTGTTCGTGAGACAAGACATAAGCCTCACAATTTGAAAATTGCATAGTTAAAATAACTAATTAAAAATATATATAATAGCATCATAATTTATAAATTAAAGCAAATTAGAAGTTTGAAACTCATGCAAAAGTTAAAATTCAATCATAAAACGCCAGAACTCAATCCATTAGAAAATGTCTTATGGGCATTCAAACTCATGAGATCATAATTAAAACTTACTGGAAAACTATTGGAGCAAATCAACAAAGGTATTTTGTACATTTGCCTTGTGACTCAAGATTTATTTTGGGGCATTTACATATATGCCACTAAATTCCTATGTATTTACATATTTAACACCTTAACTTTAACTTTTTATTTTTATACCACTCAAATCTTTCATATCATATCAAAAATATCACCCAATGTGACTCAAAATTGTAAATTAAAGTTTAGGTGTTAGATATGTAAATACATATGAATTATGTTGTATACAACTAAATCTCATTTTTTACAGGGCATTTATAAACATACCACCAATTCTTATATATCTACATATCAAACAACTGAACATTACTTTTTACATTTATAACACTTAATGCTTCAATTGTTCAACCTAAATACCAACATGTTCAACAAACAGAAAAGAAGCATGTGAATTTGAACAAAATAACAGCAGGTGATTGTGGCGGCGCAGGCGCCAAAAAAGATCGGGTGGTGTCGGCACCGGCATCAGCGGCATCGTCCAGTGCGGTAGGCGGCATTGTCCAGTGCATGAGAGAGAGACAGGACACTTGCACGGGATGAGAGCTTGCAGGTTCAAAAAAAATAGTAGCAGATGGCTTGGATGTAGGCCATGTGCCGGCACAGCGATAGAAGGCGTCACTTGGTATGTGAGATCGAGATGGGAGGGTTGCAGGTCGCAAGAGAAGGTAGAATAGATGGTGAAGTGCGCCTTATTGCGTGACGCAGAATACCTAAAGCATACGCCTCGATCAATCTAAAAGATGCGCATGCCTCAATGCAAAAAAAATTGGGATTGCACAAAAGCACGCCACAAAGAGCCTCTGATTGCACAATTTTAAATAGTGATGAATAGGGCTTGACTTTTTTTTTCTAATTGTAAGTTTTATGTCCCACTTTATGGCGAAATTGACTCAACTTGACCAACTTCATAGTTCAAGTTTCTATCATTTGTAGAAATCAATATTAAGTACTGATCTTCTACTTAGCTTTTTCGCCTATCAATCTAGGATTCCAGTTGTAATTGAATATCAAGTGTTGACCTCCAATTAATTTTTTCCATATTTACAAACATGGCTTTCAATTGTAATCCAGAACCATGAACCTATGATGCATTTAATTTAAATTGTTTTCAAAACTCAAACCAGAGAAAGTATTTTCTTTACCATTTTCTCCAACAGAATATTGACCACAAAAGGCACAAAGATGAATCTAAATGGATAGAGGTATACCTTCTATGAAGATAGTTTGATATGTAGATATAAGACTTCCATCTTCTCAATCATTACCGTCTGCCTTCCTTCTATGTAAGTCCACCATCTACTCAAAGCCTTTTTCTAATTGTTGAACCAACTAGTTATGTAACCACTTCACATCTGTGTTTAAAAAGTTTATTATCTATGTTCGAACTCCTGTTTAAAATTTTTGCACCGGACAAAAAATGATCATAATTAAACTGAAATACTAATGCACATTGAAAATTGACTTTGGTATTATCTCGTAGAAAAATAAGAATTGATTTGTATGTTTCAATCTTGAATATCCATTGATAAGACTCACAACTAATTTCCAAGGTGAACTTCCAGACGTACATAGAAATAAAAGAAAACATTTTTGGCAGTAAATGGGGTGAAGTATTTCCAAGTTGCAACAGATACAACAGGTATAAATAGTTCAATTCTACTTCTTATTTTTTTATCATTGGACCTGAGGTACTAAAAGCAACAGGAATTCATTACGCCAGGACAATTCAACTTCATCCTTAATATTAATAAAAGCAACAAGTAAGAATTCATTATGCCAGGAAAATTTAAATTTATCCTTGACAAAATATAGGAGAAACAATAAAACTATTTGGAAATCATTTGTATGAATCAAAAATTGATGCCTCTCAAACCTAAAATCGAATTGATGCAAAAAATATTAAAAAAAAAAATGAAAATAAAAAGACTTATCATTTAAACATCACAGTTTAAGAAACAGCATGCCTTCCAAATCTAAAGTGAAAAGTAAAGAACAATAATCAATTATATTCTGTAAAATAGTGGATGATATTTACCTTGCCAAAATATCACAATGCAGAAAATAATAGAGATAACCAGAGCAAAAGTGTTTCCAGCAGAAGATGAAGCTGATTTTCCATTCTTGATCTTTTTCAATGCCTTCACTCTATCAGCCCTAGCCTTCTTCAACATCATAAGATCTGAAATCTCCTTTATGAGCTTCTGGTCAGCCAAATCCAGTGTCAGTGAGCAGGGAGGACGGGGAGGCTTAGGAGGTTTTGCACATCCCTTTTTCTTAGGCTTCTCAGATCTCAAAAACTTTTGAACTTTGTCATCCCCTACAACCCTCTTGTCCACTAACAAAGCCTCCCCAATCTCCAGCCGAAGCTCAGCACAATTATGCAACTTAGGCTCAAAGCTCACAGCTTCTTCATCTCTAATTGCCCGATCACAGAGAACTAGACCGCTCCATTCCTTATAAGAAAAATTCTTACCCTCTCCAACATTGTACCCATTCTCAATAGCAGCATTAGTAGAACGTTCCACATCAATCACAAAATATTTGTCTCCTCCACTTGTCATATTCACTAACAGTTAATGAAGAAGCTCATTACTCCAAAAATATCCAAAAAAAAAAATTATTCTCATAAAACGCAATGAAGAATGCAACTTTGGCCCAAAGACTCCCTGGTGAAAATACCCTTCACCTTCGAAAGTACACTCTGCAGCTACTGACCAAACAAAGAAACCTGCCGGAAAAAAATTAAACAATCGATCAAACAAACAACACGAATCAAAAAAAAAAAAAAAAAGGTTTCACGACGAAGCCGGCATTAAGCGACCACAGGAAACACGAGAGCTCCGAGAAAGCTCTCAAACTCGATCACACCGACATCGCTCCCACATGAACAAACTCCGACAACACCGAATAAAAAAAAACACCGACGACCAAAAGCAAACCGTCGAAGAGAGAAAAGAATACCCTAACCCATTCCGAAAATAGCAGATCAAAATAATTTAGTTGCAGTGTTGTTCCACCAAGACGAACGGAAGGCTTATAGATCCGGCTTCAAAAGCACCACCGACAGCCCGAGCTTGCGAGACAAATAATTATAAAAAAAACATGAGTTTTAGGAACAAGATGAAGTAAAACTCTGGGCATTTACATACATATATATACCACACAATTCTTATGTATTTGCCTAAACAATCCTTTGTATATGCATATCACTCAAATGTTTACCGTCACAATAAAAATTCCTCTATAACTACTTTGTAAAAAATGAAAATCATATTTTTATGCATGTTTATGGGACCAAAATAATATAAAGATAAACATGAAGTTTTTAATATTACGTATATAGATACATAATAATTTTGTTCTTTGTATAAATTTCTCAAAATAAAAATGGGCATTTACATACATATCACTTATATATCTAGCACCTAAACCTTATTTTTTATATCTACTGCGTTGAATCTGAGATTGTTCTGTGAAGCACATCCAAGAAATAGAGCGAATGAGATTGGATTAGTTTGAATGGTTCATTAGTCATTTACACTAGAAATTACCGCCAATTTATAGCTCAAATGGTATGAAATATACAATTATTTGCTTGTCTCTGCTTAAATAAGATAACACATGGTATTTTAGTAAAAAATAAGTACATGAATAAATAAATTAATTGATAAAAAAAGTAAAGATCTTTGGCTTCTCTGCCACATCTTGCAGTCGTCTAGAATTGAGGGCATTTAGTCGGTCCGACAGTGGGCTTTTGGTCGGTCCGGCTAAGGGCTTTTGTTGGCCTAACTAAACGATCTTTGGTCGGCCAAATTGGGGGCTTTCGGGTAACTTGACTGAGAGTCTTCGGTCGGACAGGCTAGGGGCCTTCGGTCGGTCGGCCAGGTTGGGGGCCTTTAGTCGGCCTGCCAAGCTGGGAGCTTTCAATCGGCAGGCTTGCTTGGTTCGACTACTAGTCGCTGCCTCCTTTGAGTTGGATTCATGTTGTCATGATGAGGCTTAGTTGTCTGGCAAAGGGTACTTTTTCATAATCCGACAGGTAGCTCCACTCCTTTAATTAGAAAGTTGCTACGAGAATTTATGTTGGTGCTGCATTGGGTGCTAGTGATCTCAGAGGGTCATGAGGTTCTTTCTGAGGTATTCATAGTGTCATTTTGAGAAGCTTGACAGATCCCTTCTCTTGATTGGTTATGACCTGATCTTTTTTCCCGAGGGGATATCATTTGACAACATTTGTACACATTTTTAGGGGAGCCATGGTTAGGCATCATGTTAAGTTGGTTCACGTTGATGTGATATTTGACTTCGAGTGGGCCATCTTGACTAAACTTGTCTTATGGTCCATAAGATCTATTTGTTTTTCTTATTGACGTATTATGGGTGTACATATTTAATCTCATGAAATGTCTTACTTTTTGAAAGTCGTACTGCAATAAGAACATAATTTAATAGAAAAAACAGATTCATTTATGTCAAAATCTGTGCTTTAATAATGGAACTCCCTGGATTTTAGCATTCATGGCTTTTTATAAATAGGGCGCTGAGAGCTTCTTAGTCATTCACAATTTTTAGAGTGCGTTGGTTTGTCGGCTTGTTCCAAGAGAGTTGCTATGGAGAGTGGCAAGAAATCTTCGTTGGAGGATCTCACCAAAGATGTGTTGAAGGACGCATTTAGAGCAAGTTAGCTAAGGTTGTGGAGAAGTTTGTCAAGGCTAAGAGGTCGAGAAAAAGCCCAACCGATGGGGATAGGTAAAAGAATCAACTCACCTTGAAGAAAAGATAAATGGTGGATAGTGATGAAGTCGGGTCTTCCGATTCCCGTCGGAAGGAGGTAAGAAAGATGGGTCATTTTCTAGTGCACCGACTACAACCTCTGTTGTAGCCTGTAGTCTTCTAGCTGAACAATTCTTGCACCTAGAGCCACCTCAAAGTAAGGTTGTTGGAGCTCCCTAAGGATGGGCTTTTATTCCATCACTGGGCCTCGCGGGCAAGGCTGAATCAAGTATAATTCTAGAGTTGGACTTTGGGAGAGAGTCAGCCGGTTCTCCATTCAGTCTTGGTGAGAGTTTCTCTTAAATCAGATGGACAGATGTGGAACGATAGTTAGTCATGTGGATGCGGTCCATTTTGATTGACTTATTTTACTACCTTTGCTTATTCCAACAGGTGAAATTTTGTGAGAGTTGACCACCAATGGCAGGTGTCATTTGAGATTTAGCTCCTATGTCAACTGGAAGGACTCTGATGCAGGCATGGGGTGGAGTGACCATTGGTCCTCCAACTATTCTTCAAGGGGTACCTGCGATATGGTATGGTGGCTTGCTATTGGAAGTGTTGGTGAAAGAGCTGGAGGCAAAGCTAGCAACCTTGAGGGTGGAGCATTAGATGGAACTAGCAGTTTTGAGAGTGGAGATGAATGACCTTCGATCGACCTATACATTCCTCCAAGTCCAAGCTCAAGGCAACAACATAGATAGGTTTGGTGGCCGAGTGTTGTACCAAAAGTTGGTTTGGGGGGATTCATCTTGCCTGAGACGATTGATGACCCTCTTGTAAAGTACATTTTGTTTGAATAAATTAAGAGTTTTTATTTGCTTAAAATGAATTTAATTTTTGTTCCCTTTTTGAAAAAAAGAGATGAGCATATTATTACTTATAAAAATAGATCTAATAAAACACAAATTGATTATTTTCTTATAAGAAGAAGAGATCGTCGAGAATGTAATGTTTGTAAGGTCATGTCAAATGAGGATTTAATTACTAAACATAGATTATTAGTTCTAGATTTTAAGATTAATAATTGTAAAATAAAGAATACTTGGGATCATCATCATAGAATTAGATGGGGGTACCTCAAACGCACAAATAAAATTATTTTTGAGTAAAATTCAAGATTTCAAAATTTGGGATGTTCAAGAAGAAGCAAATTCTATGTGAGATAAAGTAACAAAAACTATTAAACAAGTGACAAACATTGTAAATAGAGAATCAAAAGAAAAAAGTTTCTATAAATAAATATAGTTGGTGGTGGAATAAAAATGTGCAAGAAAAGATAAAATGAAAAAAAGGTATGTTATAAAAATTGGTTTAAATGTAAGAGTTTATAGAACCGTGAATATTATCAAACGGTCGGTAGGGAGCCTAAGAGAATAATCTGTGACGCTAAAAATTCTGCTTTTAGTGATCTTTATAATAGATTAGATATTAAGAAGGGTGAAAAATATATGTATAAACTAGCAAAACAAAGAGAAAAAAAAAGTAAAGATTTAACTCAAGTGTATTACAGATGAAATTAAAATTGATTTTCTTAGAAAAAGATATTCAAAATAGGTAGGTGAGTTATTTTGATAAAATTTTTAATGAAGTTTAGGAAAATATGATCAACCTTAGTGATCTTAATATCATTAATAATAAAAAGAATGTTTCATTTTTACCATAACATTAGTAAAAAAGAAGTTGATTAGGTTTTAAAGAAAGCAAAGGTGGAAAGTCTGTAGGACCTGATGATATCCCAATTGAAGTACGATTGAAGTGCGGAAATATTTAGGAGATTTTAGAGTTTATTAGCTTACTAAACTCTTTCATATTTTTTAGAAACTAAAAAGATGCTTGAAGAGTGGAGGAAGAGTATTTTGGTCCCCATTTTTAAGGAAAAAGGGGATGCAGAAGAGTGTGACAATTATAGAGGAATTAAGTTAATGTGTCATACTTTAAAATTATGGGAGAGGGTAATTGAACATAGTTTAAGATGTATTACAATGATTTCTCATAATCATTTTGGATTTATGATGGGCAAGTCTACTATGGAAGAAATACATTTATTGAGAGGTAAGATGGAGACGTTTAGAGAAAATAAGGAGGATCTACAAAATATTTTTATTGATTTAGAAAAATAGTATGAAAAGGTTCCAAGAGTATCCTTTGGAGAGTTCTTGAGAATAAAGGTGTTGATATGACTTTTGACCTCACGTTTGTTGGGGTCTAATCTTTCTTCCTTAGATTCCTAGGATCTAGCCATAGAACTTTCCTGTTGACTATCCTAGAGGACTTGTAATGGAACCCTACCCCATTAGAAATTCTAAACTCTTCCTTACTTTTCTTGGAGTTCCACATGCTTGGTTCTAACCTCTAGCATTTAGTAGGATGGAACCAACATGGGGGGAGCTCAAGAGGAGTCCCCATAGGAATGTCTGGCCTTAGAGTTAGCCCAGGATGGTGTGGTTTTGGTCAACCTTGCACACAGACACTTCAAACCTCACTTTCACTAACAACTTAAAATCCTAAACCAAGCATGCTTACCTTGATTCCCTACTCTTTTGGAAACTCATGTGGGTGGTCCCCAAAACCCTTAGCCTTTGGCTAGGATGGCTAGGACCAACACATGGAGGATTCAAAATAAAGGATTTGCTTCGTCTCATGGCACCATAAGGGTAATTTTGTGATTAGCCTCCTCATTAAACCTCAATTCCACCAAAATCCCCAACTTTGGCCTTCTAGCCCAAAATTTCCCAAAATTACCAAAATGCCCCTAAAAGCCCAATTTTCCCAAAATTTCCCAAATTATCAATTTCTCCTCAATCATATTGAGCCATTCCAAACCACTCAAATTTCCCAAAACACCCAAAAATTCTCAAAATTCCTAAAATACCCCAAATATTACAAAAATTACCAAAATGCCCTTCATGTGCCAAAAATTCCCAAAACCTCCCAAATCATTCCAAACCTCCTCTAAATCAATCAAAACCACCCATTGGGCCCAATTTGACCAAATTGACCAATGTTGACCAAAATCCCATTTTTACCCTCAAAGACCCAAATTCACCAAATTCATACCAATTTCCACCAAATTGATTCCATACTTACCCAATTTCAATTTTAAATTAAATTTCATCATGTTTCAAACCAATTGAAACCAAATTCTCGCCCAATTGAACTCAATTTAAAGTCCAAATGCCAACTCCAAATCAAATGCCTCAAATTCGTAGTCCAAAATTCCATCAAATTGAACTCCCCAACCTATCCAATTTCCTTAATTTTAGATCCTAAACTCTTCATGACACCCCCCTAATGCAATTTGAGCCCTTAATTGGCCTAGATCCAAACTCAAACCTATATATATTTGTAATTTTCAT